GAACCCTCGGTTCGTTTTTCCGTCCTTCATGAACTGACGCTGCCGGGTGTAGTTTGATGATGAGCTCGCTCCTTTTCCACGTCCGCGTCCTTTTGCTGCGATAGCTCCACCTAGTTTCTGAGCCTCGGAAGCGAACGTCTCCACCTCCTCGTCACCGAGGTCGTCCAGGTCCACGATGAGCATGGCCGTCTCGAGCTCCTCCACTTCAGCTGATAAAGCTTCCATTTCTTCAGCGTCGTCCTCGTCCTCGTCTCCACTTGCTTCTGCCTCTTGCTCTCCCTCATCTTCCTCCGGGTCTGCACCGAAGGCTGCATTCCACCGAAACTTCCGTCCATGATGCTGTTGTCGGTTCGATCCTCGGGCGTCGACGTTGTCGAGCTGGATCTCCAATACTTCGCAAATGGCGTCCCAATCGTACTCGTTCTGGGCTTGTCCCAAGAATGTTTTGTGCTGAGCCTCGGTGATGCCGCACATGTCTAGCAGAAAGAATGTTCGTAGATCTTCTGAAACTTGTGTCTTACCACCTGTCAAGTCTCGAAGCTTCTCGTAGGCGTCGGTCCTTCGCTGGATGAAATCCTTGATCTGCTCATTTGGCCTTCTGTGTCCGCGCTTGAAGTAGTCCAAGAACGCTTTATGTTTCTGCAGTGGTGCCACTTTCTCGCAATGTGAGCGTACACACTTGATGAGCATGTCGAGTGCCTCCTCGATCGCATCCTCCTTCTCTGTCGTTGTGCTGCCTTTCTTGAAATACTTGTTAAGCGCTGCCACGCTGATCTTCTCGTCCTTATGGCATAGTGTCCAGGCCCTGTCCGTCAAGCTGTTTTTGACTTTCGCAACGAAACCCTTTTTCTTCTCCAAGGTGTCCACGCCTAGAAAGCCCAAACGAACTCGCTCGTCCCATTCTTCTGCTGCTGCTGCGTCTCCGTCGTAGCATGGTGTGCCATCCTTGTCCAACCACACATGTTGGTTAGCTCCGCGTCGTTTTTCTGAGAAAGCCATTTTGAGCGTGTAGGGGTCGGTGAGGTTGAGCTCGTAGTGATAGTCCGAGAACTTGTTCTCGTTAGTGTATGAACTGCCTGACCGCGAGGAACAGGTCTTTGAGATATGAAGGAGTGTCAAGAAACTGAACCAATACAAAAGCATAGGCCGTCTCGAAACACAAGCTCCGCACTACCAGTGTCAATGATAATGATGTCGAGCTGCTTTTGGCCGCGAGCTGCAAGATCCGCTCGGTCGATCTTTATGAAATGAGGCGTATGCCTCGCACACACAGCTTGTGAAATCAGGGAAACCCCAGTCTGTGACTGGAACACATCTGATAACTTGTTATCGCTGCTGGCTCGAAAAGGGGATCCCCTGATATCGTTCGATAGCAAACGGCCGCGGAAACATAACGTGTTATGTTATCCTGTTTTAAAAACTCCACTTACCCCGGTCGGGGTACCAGTCTCTAAACTGCTGAGCTACTGCGTTTCGGCTGGGGCACAAAACTCGCTCATCTTCGCACAAGAGGCCCCCAAGACCGCCCCAAGACGGCCCAAGAGGCTCCCAAGAGGGCCCCAAACCAGCCCAAGAGGGCCCCAAGACGGCCCCAGAGGCGCTCAAGACGGCCCAAGAGGGCGCCAAGACGGCCCCAAGAGGGGGACCACGAACCGAAAAGTCTAGCCTTTCGCCCCAAGACGCTCCCAGGAGGCCCCCAGAGCCCCCCAATAAGCCCCAAGAGGCCCCCAAGAGGCGTCCCAAGAGGCCACCGGGAGGCGAAAATCATTAATTTCCTATGGGGAGAAGTACATTTTTGGCATGCAAGGCGTTTCGGCTTTCGCTGCGTTGAAGACGCTCCAAGAGGCCCCCAAGACCGCCCCAAGACGGCCCAAGAGGCTCCCAAGAGGTCCACAAAACGGCCCAAGAGGGCGTCAAGACGGCCCAAGAGGCGCCCAAGACGGCCCAAGAGGGCCCCAAGACGGCCCTAAGAGGGGGGCCACGAACCGAAAAGTCTAGCCTTTCGCCACAAGAAGCTCCCAGGAGGCCCCCAGAGCCCCCCAAGAAGCCCCAAGAGGCCCCCAAGAGGTTCCCAAGAGGCCTCCAAAAGGGCCCGACAAGGGCCCCAATAGGACTCCCAAGAAGGCCCAGAGACGCCAAATAGAGAGCGATCGGTAACGCAAAAAGCTCTTCACACCAAGGCTCCCAAGAGCGAACGGTGACGTAAACAAGATGATAAGACCAAGGCTCCCAGCAGAGAGCGGTGACGTAACAAGTTCCTGACACCAAGGCCCAGCCAAGGCTCAGGAACGGGCGGCAACGCAACAATCTCTGAACACCAAGGCTCCCAAGAGCGAGGGGTGACGTAACAAGCTCTCAACGCCGAGGCTCCCAGTACGAACGGTGGTGTGAGTAATTTCGGTTTCTGTTTCTGAAGCGCTCTTTCCGTTTCTGTGCCGGGCCAGGTAACGGAAAGAAGGGTGGGGTTCCAGGGGAGGGGGGTAGCGTGCGGAGATGGGCGTTAATGGCAGTTTTGAGGGTTTTCCCTAGGGCTTTTGTATGTTTTTCGGGTTTCACTTGTTTTCCGTCCCAGAAGAGCCCAAGACAGGCCCAAGACAGGCCCAAGACTGCCCAAGAGGCCCCCAAGAGGCCCCCAAGAGGCGCCCAAGGGGCGTCCCAAGAGGGCCCCAAGAGGCCGAAATCATCGATCTTCCATAGGAAAACGTGCATTTTTAGCATCTGCGGCTTTGTCGGCTTTCACGGCGTTGACGACGGCCCAAGAGGCCCCCAAGACCGCCCCAAGACGGCCCAAGAGGCTCCCAAGAGGCCCCCAAAACGGCCCAAGAGGGCCCCAAGACGGCCCCAGATGCGCTCAAGACGGCCCAAGAGGGCGCCAAGACGGCCCCAAGAGGGGGACCACGAACCGAAAAGTTAGCCTTTCGCCCCAAGACGCTCCCAGGAGGCCCCCAGAGCCCCCCAATAAGCCCCAAGAGGCCCCCAAGAGGCGTCCCAAGAGGCCACCGGGAGGCGAAAATCATTAATTTCCTATGGGGAGAAGTACATTTTTAGCATACAAGGCTTTTCGGCTTTCACTGCGTTGAAGACGCTCCAAGAGCCCCCAAGACCGCCCCAAGACGGCCCAAGAGGCTCCCAAGAGGTCCCCAAAACGGCCCAAGAGGGCGTCAAGACGGCCCAAGAGGCGCCCAAGACGGCCCAAGAGGGCCCCAAGACGGCCCCAAGAGGGGGGCCACGAACCGAAAAGTCTAGCCTTTCGCCACAAGAAGCTCCCAGGAGGCCCCCAGAGCCCCCCAAGAAGCCCCAAGAGGCCCCCAAGAGGTTCCCAAGAGGCCTCCAAAAGGGCCCGACAAGGGCCCCAATAGGACTCCCAAGAAGGCCCAGAGACGCCAAATAGAGAGCGATCGGTAACGCAAAAAGCTCTTCACACCAAGGCTCCCAAGAGCGAACGGTGACGTAAACAAGCTGATAAGACCAAGGCTCCCAGCAGAGAGCGGTGACGTAACAAGTTCCTGACACCAAGGCCCAGCCAAGGCTCAGGAACGGGCGGCAACGCAACAATCTCTGAACACCAAGGCTCCCAAGAGCGAGGGGTGACGTAACAAGCTCTCAACGCCGAGGCTCCCAGTACGAACGGTGGTGTGAGTAATTTCGTTTTCTGTTTCTGAAGCGCTCTTTCCGTTTCTGTGCTGGGCCAGGGAACGGAAAGAGCGAGGTACGAGTGATGACGTTCTGGTGTGGGCGAAGCCCTAAAGGGAGGGGTTCCAGGGGAGGGGGGTAGCGTGCGGAGATGGGCGTTAATGGCAGTTTTGAGGGTTTTCCCTAGGGTTTTTGTATGTTCCGTCCCAGAAGAGCCCAAGACATGCCCAAGACAGGCCCAAGACTGCCCAAGAGGCCCCCAAGAGGCCCCCAAGAGGCGCCCAAGGGGCGTCCCAAGAGGGCCCCAAGAGGCCGAAATCATCGATCTCCCATAGGAAAACGTACATTTTTAGCATCTGCGGCTTTGTCGGCTTTCACGGCGTTGACGACGGCCCAAGAGGCCCCCAAGACCGCCCCAAGAAGACCCAAGAGGCTCCCAAGAGGTCCCCAAAACGGCCCAAGAGGGCGTCAAGACGGCCCAAGAGGCGCCCAAGACGGCCCAAGAGGGGGACCACGAACCGAAAAGTCTAGCCTTTCGCCCCAAGACGCTCCCAGGAGGCCCCCAGAGCCCCCCAATAAGCCCCAAGAGGCCCCCAAGAGGCGTCCCAAGAGGCCACCGGGAGGCGAAAATCATTAATTTCCTATAGGGAAAAGTACATTTTTGGCATGCAAGGCTTTTCGGCTTTCATTGCGTTGAAGACGCTCCAAGAGGCCCCCAAGACCGCCCCAAGACGGCCCAAGAGGCTCCCAAGAGGTCCCCAAAACGGCCCAAGAGGGCGTCAAGACGGCCCAAGAGGCGCCCAAGACGGCCCAAGAGGGCCCCAAGACGGCCCCAAGAGGGGGGCCACGAACCGAAAAGTCTAGCCTTTCGCCACAAGAAGCTCCCAGGAGGCCCCCAGAGCCCCCCAAGAAGCCCCAAGAGGCCCCCAAGAGGTTCCCAAGAGGCCTCCAAAAGGGCCCGACAAGGGCCCCAATAGGACTCCCAAGAAGGCCCAGAGACGCCAAATAGAGAGCGATCGGTAACGCAAAAAGCTCTTCACACCAAGGCTCCCAAGAGCGAACGGTGACGTAAACAAGCTGATAAGACCAAGGCTCCCAGCAGAGAGCGGTGACGTAACAAGTTCCTGACACCAAGGCCCAGCCAAGGCTCAGGAACGGGCGGCAACGCAACAATCTCTGAACACCAAGGCTCCCAAGAGCGAGGGGTGACGTAACAAGCTCTCAACGCCGAGGCTCCCAGTACGAACGGTGGTGTGAGTAATTTCGTTTTCTGTTTCTGAAGCGCTCTTTCCGTTTCTGTGCCGGGCCAGGTCTACTGGCTGCGCGGTGGCCCGGAAAGCTGCGACGGCTTCCGGAGCGCGGCCGGCCTGCTCGAAGCAGCTGGCGAGGTAGAGGTCCTCGCCCCAGTCCTGCCACTTCCTCAGCGCGCCGCCCCTCCAGATGACGCTGGCAGGATCCAGCGCCGAGGACCAAGGCTGTGGGCTCTGCGGCACATTCGTCTTGTGACGACTCGGGCATCAGCTTCTGACGCCGCGTGGATCGTTCGACCTTGACCGATCGGCGGCTTCCACTTTGGTCGGTTCTTTGACACTGACGGCGTTCAGCCTTGAACGCCCGCGACGAGGTCGCCGCCGCGTCGGCACGACGCGAACCAACCGTATTTGGCCTTTCTTGGGGGGGGGGGGGGGGGCAGCTCTCGCGGACGAGACACTGCGCGTCCATGGCGTCCCTCAGCGGGCACCTAGCCACCGCGGTGAGAAATCAGGGGTTGCCGGAGGCGTCTATGGCCAAGGGTGCCCCCAGCTTGCAGCTCCATTATGCAACCCTCTGGGGTCCCCTGAACCTCGCGAGTGGTGGTCTGGAGGCCGTGGGGGCCTCCTTGAAACACGACGGAAAGCTTGGGCAGTTTTCTGTCTCTGTGAGCCTTCACCAGGCCCCAGGACCGTACAAATGACTCTCGGGACTAGAAACCAGTCCCCAGGGAACAGAGGCAGACCTCTGGGGAACCATGTTTTGAAAAACGCGACGTCGGTGGTCTGAAAATCAGCAGGAGGAGGACGGATGAGGGAGATGACGCTGCGGAGGGTGATCAAGGATGGGGCAGGATGGCGCGACGGAGAGGTAGCGTGATTGGACTCTTCGGCTTTTCTCGAGTCCATGGGGGGCGTCCTCGTGGTAACGGCTGGATCGGCCGAGAAATTCTTCCCGGAGCGTCTCAGGACACGACTGGGGGTGGACTGGCTGGGGTCGAGGGTCGGCGAAGAAGAAGGGGATGAGGTGGTGGAGGAACCGCGTCGAGCGAAACGGGGAAAAGCCAAGGAGGATTTGGCAAGTCAGCTTACGTAGCTGGTTTCTGTAGTGTCTCCCGGCGTCGGAGGCGCCCATGTATCAGGGAAAACACCCAGCGGCGGGGCCGAAACCAGCTGAATTCACCAAGTGTTGTAGACCCGCCTAGTCCTACCCCATCATATCATTCGACCCCGGAAAAGAGGACCCCACTCGCTTAAGGCAAGCAACTGCTTCCGGAGCTGTCCGGTCCTCGATCGCAAACTCGACGCCCGACTTTGGCCCTGAGCGGCGAGCTGACGAGAAGTCATGTGCCTGCGACATCAAAGCAGACTGAGAGGACCCGCGGGCACGTCGTTGGAACGGTTTCGGGGACCTTCCTCGCAGTTTATACACACGCCACGACTGAAAATGGGCGCTGGCTGCAGGTAACCACGTCGGATCGGAAGATCCGGCAAGCCAATTGAAGCAAAAACGGCTCTCCCGATCGGCCCAAATCCATTGACAATCAATCCCTGCGCCCTTCCCTGAATCCATCCTGTCCCGCTAGTTCGAGGCGGATCCAGCAGCGGCGGCGAGAAGCCTCCGGGAGGCACAACAAATACCCTGGCGAAGGACCCAACCATATGAAGTTGTGAGTGCCGCACAGGTGCGTATCCTCTTCGGTGGGGCCACCTATAGGACCACCAAACTTTTGACGGGGGTGCCGGCATGGGTGGTGGGGACACATGCGGGCGCAGCCATTAGGGCCATCGGTGGAGCTCCCTATGGGGCCACGAAGCGTGTGAGGGGCGTGTCGACATGGGTGGCGGCATGTGGTCACAACCACTGGTGCCTTCGGTGGAGGTCCCTATGGGAGCCACGAAACGTGCGAGGGGTGTGCCGAAATGGGTGGCGGGGACGCATGTGTTCACAGCCGCTGGGGCCTTCGGTTGAGCTCCCGATGGGGCCACGCAGCGCGTGATGGGTGTGCCGAAAGTGGCGGCGGGGACGCATGTGGTCACAGCCACCAGGGGCCTTCGGTGGGGCTCCCTATGGGACCACGAAGCGTGTGAGGGCTGTGCCGACATGGGTGACGGGGGCGCATGTGGTCACAACCGCTGGGCTCCCTATGGGGCCGCGATTGCTGTGCCGACATGGGTGGCTGGAACGCATGTGGTCACGGCCACTGGACACTTCGGTGGCGCTCCCTATGGGGCCACGAAGCGCGCGAGGGGTGTGCTACAGTGGGTGGCGGGGACGCATGTGGTCACGGCCACTGGGGCCTTCGGTGAAGCTCCCTTTGGCCTCTGGGGCCACGACGCGTGCCGACAGTGGCGGCGGGGACGCATGTGGTCCCAGCCACTGGTGCCTTCGGTGGAGCTCCCCATGGGGCCACGAAACGTGTGAGGGGGGGCCACGAAGCGTGTGAGGTGTGTGCCGAGATGGGTGGCGGTGACTCATGTGGTCACATCCACCTGTGCTATCGATGGAGCTCCCTATGGGGTTACGAAACGTGTGAGAGGCATGCCGTAATGGTTGGCGGGGGCGCACGTGGTCACAGCCACCAGGGGCCTTCGGTGGAGCTCTCTCTGGGGCCACGAAACGTGTGCGAGGTGCGCCGAAATGGGCGTGGCGGATGCTCGCAAGACGCCCCCAAGACGCACCAATTGGTATCCAACCGCTGGCGAAAACAGACCTACGAGGTTTTTGTGTGTTGCATCGCCCGCGCTGCGCTCGCTGTGAGCGCCGTCCTCTGTGGAGGCTCGGGCTCACGGCAGCCAGTCCTGTTGAACAGCCCGCGAGAAAATGCAAAGGCAAATCCCTCAAGCGCTGCCGCAGCCGAGCATCACTCTCCGCCAGGCCGCCTGCCCGTCTTGGGATCGCGGCCCTGGAGGATGTTCTCGATCTTGAGGTTCCTCAACATCAAGGCGCTGCCAGGCACCACCTCCCAGGTCTTGTCCAGCGAGCGATGCTTGCCTTTTCACCTCCTTGGCGTAGGCTCTGCATCTGGTGCACACTCTGTAGCCGCCCATGCTGATCAGCTGGTGGCCTCCGTCGCTGGCCGCCCCGGTGCTGCCAGAGCCCGCGGGCGCAGGGGAGACAACCTGCACCCCGCTGCCGCAGTCCCGAGCGCTGTCGTCGGTCGCGACATGCGCTGGGCCGTGGGCAGCCGCAGGGTGGTCGGCCTGCGTGCTGCCTCGGGCGCCGCTGTCGGTCTGGACGCCCAGGATGCCCTGAGCGGCCGCAGGGAAACCGTCCTCCGTACCGCCCGCCCGCCCGCCGCCGTCGGACGTGGCGGCAGCTGGGCCCTGCGCGGCGGCAGAAGGGTCGGTCTGCCTGCCACCCGCGGCTGCAAGGGCGTCGTCCTGCATGCCGCTGGCCTCTGCCTCGAGGCGCCTGGCTGCCGCCAGCGCCACCGCCACAGCACCAGCCGCAGGGAGAGCCGAGGCCGCTGGCCTGCGGCGTGCGCCGCTGACGTCGGCGGCGAAGGGCTTCGAAATGCACGGGTCGCCCAGCAGACGCTTGGCCCCCTGGGTTGTGAACGCCGACCTCAGGCAGACCCTGTAGTGAGTACCTCCGCCCGTCAGCTTGATGGGGTCGTGCCTGGTGATGGACAGCTGTGGCACCTTGCGCTGCTCGTGAAAATCGAGGTCCACGTCGAGCTTCAAGTCAGCAGCCTCGCAACCCGCCCTGGCCACCCAGCAGACCACCCCGTCAAGCGTGAGCGCGCGTCGCTGCTACGCCTGTCTGAGGTCGCTTGGGGCCCGCACCGCATCAGCCACAAACTTCGCGCACCTGTCGGCCTCCATGTTGCCGCGGCGGTCCCTGGCAGAGATAACCCCATCGCGCACATCCTTCACCGTCGCATTCGCCTTGACCTTCAGGATGGTAAGCCCACCGTCGCCAATGCCGCCGAAGTCGTCTAGGGCCTGCCAAACCCTCTTCCAAACACAGCCCCATGCAGCAGTCCTTCGTAGTGCCAGCGGGTCCTCTTTCCAGGAGCCCCTTCGTGACGTACGCCGCGTCGAAGGCAGCCGTGATCGGGGGGAGGCTGTGCTTGAGGATCGCCAGCAGGCCGAGGAGCTCGGCGCCGTCGATCGACTGCAGCGGTCGTGGCAGCGGCGCCCCCAGCGCCTTGATCGCCGATTTGGGGCCAGGATCCCAATCGGCTCCACTCGTAGGTCCAACACGCCCAAGTCCGATGGGAAAACGTGCATGTTTACCTTATACGGCATTTCGGCCTTCACGATGTTGTCGACGGTCCCAGAGGCTCCCGGGACCGCGTCAAGACAGCTCAAGAGGCTCCCTCCCAAGACTACCCCAAGACGGCCCACGAGGGCGCCAAGACGGCCCAAGAGGGAAGACAACTCCAGGAGAGGCCCAAGATGGGGAGCCCGAACTGCAAATCCCAGCCTTTTCTCTCACGAGATCCTCAACAGGCTCCAAGAAGCCCCCAAGAGGCCCCAACAGGCCCCCAAGAAGCCCCCAGGAGGCCCCAGAAGGCCCCCAAGAGGCCCGAAAGAGGCCCCAAGAGGCCCCAGAACGACCCCCAAGAGGCTTCCCCAGGTCCCTTGCTCAATCCCCTGAGCCTCAGCCTTCAGCCTCAGTCCTCATCCCTCCCACTGTCTCCTCCTCTCCCTCCTCCCTCCTCCCCCCTACCTCTTGCCTCCTCGGTCCTCCCTCCTCCCTCGTCCTCCCTCCGCACAAAAGCCAAAATCAGCCCCAGGACGGCCCCTTATGAGCTTCACAAAATGTGAAGATGGAAGACGCAGCACATGATGGCCTACCTCGTCCCCTTCATCAGCTTCATCATCACTGCCGTCATCAACATCCCACCGCCATCACCATAATCAACGTCATCATCATCAGCAGCAGCATCATCAGCATCATCATCATACTCATCATAATCCTTCTCATCATCAACAAGATCAGCACCAACACCATCGCCGTCCTCACCAACTGCAACACCATTAGTACCCTGAGAATTCACATCATCAACATTAACACCAGTGTCATCATTATCAGCATCATTGTGGGCACATTGCTATCAGTATCACAACCGCCATCATCATCACCAACATCACAATCCTGATTATCGTCCCAGCACGGTATTCATGCCCTTCACAATGGCCATTAAAATGATAAACATCATTATCGACATCATCAGCATTATCATCATCATCATCATCATCATCATCATCATCATCATCATCATCATCATCATCATCATCATCATCATCATCATCATCATCATCATCATCATCATCAGTATCATCATCATAATCATCATCATCATCATCATCATCATCATCATCATCATCATCAGCAGCAGCATCAGCATCAGCATCAGCATCATCATCATCAGCATCATCTTGAGCGCCCCGGACCGGCGGCACTGGCCAGAGGCCAGCACAATAACAACAACCGCATCGCCAGCGCAGGAGAACGAAGCACCCGAGGAGGCGGGCAGGGCGGGATCGGGGCGATGCTCGGGCCACGGCAGGTTGGTCTTGCAGCTGTCTGCGCCCCGCATGTAGCTACTGACCTCGGCGGCGAAGCGGGGCCAGAGACCACCGCTGCGGCGCGGCTGCCAAGAGCGCGGTGCTGCCATGATTTTGCTGGGAGGGACCTGATGCAGATGCACAAATGCCCACCAACCCTCTGGGCGTAGGTGGTCTAACGATCTCTGTCCTCCAGGGAGGGTGCCGTCCCCCTCACCACCCCATGTGTTCTAGGAAATGAAAGAAGTCCGCGACGTGTCAGAGGGTCTAGATTCGCCCAAGATGGCTCCTACAACGCCTCCGATGCTCCAAGATGGCCTTCAAGATGGCTCAAGATAGCCGAAGATTGCTCAATATTACTTGCAGCGTGCCTCGAGCACGCCCCAAGAGGGCCACAAGACGGTTCCACGTGATCTCGGACCCTCCCGCCGGGACCCTTTTCCCAAGAGGCCCTCATCCATCAAGCACCTCAGTCAATTCAATGATTTACGCCGTCTCGCACTCTCGTTTCCGATGAGCTTCTGGAGCCTCAATAGAACCGCAAGAGGAGCCCAAGAGGCCCTCCAAAGCCCTGAAAGCGCCCCAAAAGATGCCACAGAAAGGTGCCTCGAAAGACGCCTCCGAGAGCCCAGAAAGAGCCCAAAATTTAACTTGCTGGCTCTAGAAGAAGGGGGGAGGAGGGGGGGGAGGGGGAAGGGGGGGCAAATCTTCCCCCGGCCCCCTCCCCCCCAGCCCAGGATGCACCCCCCCCGGCCCCCTCCCCAGCACCCCTCCCGGGCACCTCCCCCCGGCACCCGATCCCGGCATGCACCCCCCGCGGCCCCCCCCCCGGCACCCTCCCCCCGGCCCCCCCCCGGCCCCCCCCCCGGCACCCCCTCCCGGCACCCTCGGCATCTCCCCTCCGGCCCCCCCTCCCCGGCACCTCTCCCTGGCACCCCTTCCGGCACCCCCTGGAGGGCCCTCTCGGCACCCCCCCTCCCGGCACCTCCCCTGGCACCCCCCCTCCGGCACCCCCTCCCGGCACCTCCCCCTGGCACCTCTCCCTGGCACCTCTCCCCTGGCCCCTCCCCCCGGCACCTCCCCCGCCCCCCCCCAGGCACCCCATCTCGGCTACCCATCCTGGCCCCGGCCCCAGGCACCCTCCCCCCCCCTCGGCACCCCCCTCTCAATCCAATCCTTTTCCTGCTCCTCCTTGTCCTGTTCCTCCCTCGCCTCCTCCGCAGCGAACCGGGCGGAACTGGAGCGAAACCGGGCCGAACCGGACGGCCCTCCTGACAACGACGAACCGAACCGAACCGAACCGGAAAATTCCGACGCCGAACCGAACAGAACCGAACTGGCCCACTTCGGAACCCAACCGAACCAAGCCGAAACGGACCCTTCCTGAAGCAGGCAAAGCGTTGGACCTTGTTTTTATCCACGCCACTCACACGGTTCGTGGCCCCACAGGGAGCTCCACCGAATCGTGGGCCCCCAGTTAACACACCCCTCACACAGATCGTGGTCCCATAGGTACCTCCACGGGACCTCCTCCTCCTCCCCCCCACTGCGCCTTCACCTCCACCTGTCCCCCTCGTCCACCTCTTCCCTCTTCCCTCCAGCAACCGCGTTGGCTCGAGCTTCACCGAGCCGCGGAACCTCGGAGCCCCTCCCGAGGCCCCGAACCTCCGACCAGCGGCCGCCACCGAGCATGGCTCACTCCCAGGCCCGCGTGAGGGCGGCGGCGCGTCCCCACGGCGCCGAGCCCCCGGGCCCAGCCGAGCCGGTTGCCGAGCTGACCGCACTGTTCACCGAGGGGCTCAAGCAGAACAAGGAGCTCCTCGCCAAGCAGGACACGACAAACCAGTGCCTCAAGCACCTGGGCGAGAAGGTATCCTACGCCGTTACGCGCCAGTGCCGGACGAGCGGCGAAGCCACCGGCGCTTCGGGGATGACGCGAACTTACCTCCGAGGTTCGACTCTCTGTGGGCGAGGAACGTCGTGAGCACGGTGCTCAAAACGATCTACACGTTGGGCACGATCGAATCCATCATGTACGAGGACATCTTCCACGGGAAGGACATCCGGCTCCGAGCTCCTCGCCGCCGTCTTCTGGAAGACGTGGCACGAGAAGTCCGATGAGGCTGTGAACACCTTCGAGGAGCACGACCAGAACTGCGACAAGCTGTTCATCATCTTGCCGAATTTCCGACACCAGCTCCTCAAGGCGACCAAGAACAAGAGGACGTGCTTCCCGGCGACGAGACCGTCAACAAGCTGAGCAACGGCTCCAAGGTCCAAGGGAGACGTGCATCAAGGACGTGCTCGGCGAGCTCCCGGTCGGCCTTCAGGCCCTCCACGAGCTCATGCTCCCGCTGGACCCGCGCTTCAAGCCCTGCGAGGTCTTGTCGGGTACGCAGGTGAGCGCCAGGCTCACGGAGGGAAGCCGAGCGGGGTGTCGAGGCGATCGCGGTGGTGCGCGAGGATGTCAAGAGAAGTGCGTCTCCTGGGCCGAGGGGAACCTGTCCACGACCTGCCCAGACCAGCGCGCTCGAGCCACCGGGGGCCGTCGTCAAGTGGTGCTGCGCACCAAGACACTCCACGGCGCCAAGTGCTAGCTCCAGGAGGCCTTGTACCTGGGGGGCATCGGGGTATACTGAGCTGCTCGACGGTATGAGCAGTGCAGGCCTGGAGCGCTGAACCACGATTCGAGGGGCACGGGTTTTGATTCTACGATGCCTATTCAACCCTTTTCGAGCCCCCCCCTGGGGGCTGTCATGGCTGGATCCGCCTCAGAATTATTGCCAGAGCACCCAAGAAAGGACCAGAGTTCGACCAGGGTTGTCGTCTTCTGTGTCGGAGGTCGAGGAGGAAGACAGAGGTGTTTGCGGCGCTCACAAGGGGCGGACGTGAGAGGGCGGCCTTCTGACAAGGCGGGGGAGGCCTGATGGAATGCAGGGGCCTTGTTAGCTACAAGTGCCCCCAGGCGTCAAAAAACAATCTCGGAGCAAGGAGGGCTTCGCCGAAGCCCCTGCCTTCTTGGAAGCCCTCCAGGCTTCTTAGCATGCCGCCTCCCTCCTCCCTCCTCCCTCCTCCCTCCTCCCCCCTCCCCCCCCTGCGCCGCCCCACGGCGCGCGCCGCCGAAGTGGGCTAGGGGTACGCGGCAGGGCGGTGATGATTTGAGGGCATGCGGCTGGGGAAGGCCACCGTGAGGCAGTGGCGCGTGCCTCCCAAAGCGTGCATGCCTGGATCGGCGCCAGGGTTGCTAAGGGGATAAGGGGGGATGCGAGTGGTTGCTGAGGTGGGTTGTACGTGGCTTCACTTGGATGCAACATGGGCTCCAAACGCTCCAAGCGGCATACGACGGGTTAGGTAACTCAGCCAAGTGGGCTCCGCCGATTTAGCCCGGATTGCGAATCCCACTACGCCGCTTATGGCATTTGTAACACAACCATAAACCAGGTCAGGCCAGATATGCCCCATCTGTGGATCCACTGACAAGCCCCCATGTCCTCGTTGCACCACCCGCGCCGATCCAAATACGAGAATGCAGAACCCTGCGAGCCAGTCAGACCAGGTGAACAACAATTATCCCGGCAAAGCAACCTAACAGCGATGTGTAGGAGCATATCTGGAAGCATTCCCCTTAAGATTCAGATGATAATCCAGTTGTAGAATTCTGCTGTTCTCGCAGTCGTAGTCGCATTCGCGATGACAGTCGCAGTGGCAACGTCAGTCGCAGTCACAGCCTCAGCCTCAGCCTGCCTCAGCCTCAGCCTCAGCCTCAGCCTCAGCCTCAGCCTGCCTCAGCCAGCCTGCCAGCCTCAGCCTCAGCCTCAGCCTCAGCCTCAGCCTGCTTCAGCCTCAGCCTCAGTCTGCCTTCAGCCTCGGCCTCAGCCTCAGCCTGCCTCAGCCTCAGCCTGCATCAGCCTCAGCCTCAGCCTCAGCCTGCCTCAGCCTCAGCCTGCCTCAGCCTCAGCCTCAGCCTGCTTCAGCCTCAGCCTCAGCCTCAGCCTCAGCCTCGGCCTCAGCCTCAGCCTGCCTCAGCCTCAGCCTGCATCAGCCTCAGCCTCAGCCTCAGCCTGCCTCAGCATCAGCCTGCCTCAGCCTCAGCCTCAGCCTGCCTCAGCCTCAGCCTCAGCCTGCTTCAGCCTCAGCCTCAGTCTGCCTTCAGCCTCGGCCTCAGCCTCAGCCTGCCTCAGCCTCAGCCTGCATCAGCCTCAGCCTCAGCCTCAGCCTGCCTCAGCATCAGCCTGCCTCAGCCTCAGCCTCAGCCTGCCTCAGCCTCAGCCTCAGCCTGCTTCAGCCTCAGCCTCAGTCTGCCTTCAGCCTCGGCCTCAGCCTCAGCCTGCCTCAGCCTCAGCCTCAGCCTGCCTCAGCCTCAGCCTCAGCCTCAGCCTGCCTCAGCCTCAGCAGCCTCAGCCTCAGCCTCAGCCTCAGCCTGCAGCCTCAGCCTCAGCCTCAGCCTGCAGCCTCAGCCTCAGCCTCTGCAGCCTCAGCCTCAGGCCTTCAGCCTCAGCCTCAGCCTGCCTCAGCCTCAGCCTGCATCAGCCTCAGCCTCAGCCTCAGCCTGCCTCAGCATCAGCCTGCCTCAGCCTCAGCCTCAGCCTGCCTCAGCCTCAGCCTCAGCCTGCTTCAGCCTCAGCCTCAGTCTGCCTTCAGCCTCGGCCTCAGCCTCAGCCTGCCTCAGCCTCAGCCTGCCTCAGCCTCAGCATCAGCCTGCCTCAGCATTCAAAATGTGGCCCGGGAATGGAATTCTGGGAACTCGAAGAACACGAAGTGGCCTACAGCTGGCTCCGGGCATTCAAAATCATGTCCAGGAATGGAGTTCTGGGAACTCGAAGACCACGAAGTGGCCTACAGTTGGCTCCGGGCATTCAAAATCATGCCCGGGAATGGAGTTCTGGGAACTTGAAGAACACGAAGTGGCCTACAGTTGGCTCCGGGCATTCAAAATCATCCCCAGGAATGGAGTTCTGGGAACTCGAAGACCACGAAGTGCGTTACTGTTGGCTAAAAAAAGAGTCCCCGGCATCCTCCCCCGGATCGCGCCCAGACCCCCCTGGGGCGTCATGATGCTCTCTTTTGACCCTACTAGAAACCTATCAGTCTTCGCTGTTAGGTAACGATACGGCATTTCTTGGTCCAAGCATTGGACCTGGCACTCGGCCTCTCGCGAGCCTTTACACGAATCAATTTCGGGCCACGGATCGACCGTGAATGTTAGGTAGGGGTCGGGCGGATGCTACGTGATTCCGACAGGTTTGGACGATCACCTCTTGAACACTGCGGGGCTATATGGGTCTCCAGCGGTTTCAACTGCCACCGAGGGCGTATGGGTCCGTCGCGAGAGCTCAAACGGACACCCATTGAATCGCACAGGACCCCTGGAATTTCTAATGGATTGGCACGGCCCTTGAAAAGGGTGCAGATGGACGCACATTGGGACCCTGAGGGATGCGGAGGATTACGGTGCATCTGCGAGCGGGAATGTGGTCCACGTCGGCGGCTTGAGGAGACACGAAAGGAGGGGAACCTCAGGGCTTCGGGCCCTCGGGGGCCCCAGACCATGTCCAACTTGCGCGATCCCAGCAAACGCCAACCCCAGAGTCGCGAGCAAGATGGATGTGTGCCGATGGTTTTGTCGTCTGGGGTCATCCCATGTGAATCTCACTCAGCGCACTAGCAGAATCCAAGATCCGGACCGCTGGCGTGGAAACGGCCTCGATCGAGCCGAACATGGCCGGCCACCCAGGGCCGTTCCACTTCATGCACTGCTTCACGAAAGCGCCCGGGCCCGTCTCGTCGGTGGCTCCTCGCAAGCGGCGCAGAGTGGCAACGAATGCCTCCGGCGCCTCCGAGGCATGGGAGGGCCTCTGAGGGCTGCTAAAAGGTCTCCGTAGGCACCGCGCGCGGCAGCGCTACCCCCCATTAACGCCACCACGGCCGTGGGCATCCTCGTCGAAGGGAGAGGGATAGAGAGGCGGGAGGAGGAAGGTGAAGTTACGGTCGGGAGCTTTTGCTCAGCGTGTCGCGGCGCCAGCCCCAGCGGCCCGTAATGTCCTGCGAACTGATTCCGTGTCGCTCCGCTCGACGAGGCGGGAAGCTGCGAACAGCTGGGAGCGTTGACGCCTGGGGGCTGGGACGTGGTGAATCAGCGTACCACGCCGAGGCATGGTGGGCCTGAACTGGCGGAGCGACACGCTAAGCCAGAGTTCCTGACCGCAGCCGGGTCGAGCGAGTCCGCGGGCCCAGCCCCTCCCCACACGCTCCCTCTCGGAATGCAAACGCGAAGCCTGGCGCAACTTGCTTGTGACACTGGCGCGCTCTGCCACCTGCATGGCGACCAGAGAGCGCTCGCGCGCAGTGTAGCGCCCAACGACCTGGCGAGGCGACAAAAACACGGGCCGCGCACGGGCAGGAGCGGACCTTCCAGAACATCGTTCCGCTGCGCTTCGGCCAGAGCACAATTTGCCATCTCTCGCGCGGCAATAACTCCAGGGATAGTGCCGAAGTAAAGGTATGCGCCGTGCTGGAGCGTCTCTGCCACTTTCACGCGAGATCTGCGCTGCGCTTGGGCAACCCGGCGAGCAAACAGAAGATGCGCCGCGCCCAAAATCGGGACCGCCACTTTCAGGCAAAATCTGCACCGCGCCTCGACAAGAGCTACATTTCGCCAGAACGCGCGCGACTCCATTGTCGGCGAAGAAGCGAACGAACAATGTGAGCCGCGTCAGAGTGGGAGCTCACTTCCCAGGACAAGTAAGCGCGGCTCTGAAGCGAGAGCGGTATTTGGCTGGTTCGCGCGGTATGTGCGTCCCGTAGCATTCCTGCCACGCTTGTTTTTTTTTTACGGGGACGGGGACAAGTCGGGAAGGGGAGGAGAGGGAAGAAGAAAGCGGGAAGAGAGAGGACTAGAGAAGATGAAGAGGAAGAGGGGGAACCGAGCTGGTCCTTCTCGGCGCAGGTCGCTGCAATACGAGATTGCACCAGGTACCGTGCGACTCATGACAGCTGCTGCCGTTTGGGATCGGGGCACCCAGGATCTTCCTTCGTCCACACCTCTTCCTTGTAAACACCTCCCCCGGTGGCAACACCAGAGCTACCCGTAGGCCAGGCAGGGCATTTCGCAAGAGACTTGCTCGCAATGAGCGACCGTCAAGAAAACAATTCAATCACCGTCAACGATGGAAAGGGCGGGATCAAGGACGCGGCTCTTGCCGTAACGCCGTGTACATTCGCCTTAGACATGAGCAGCAGCTTCAAAGATGGAAGCATGGATAGAAGTTCGCCTTCGAGCGCGTTCGAAAATTCAAGACGGCTTCAATAATGGAGATTGGCTCGCGTTCCAAATGCGGTTGTCGCCTTGGCCCCACGGGCATTCATCTTCAAAGTCTGCAGCACATTCAAACATTCAGGCTGGCTCAATTTCAAAAGGAGTCTCTCGGCTCAGCGCCGTGTCGCAACATTTTGCTAAACATAGGTGAGGATGTAGGGCTGGTAGTTTTCAAACTAGGGCACTCGCCGAAGATGAGTTAAACTTAAAGCCTCAAGCTTGAAACCCAAAACTTGCACCCTAAACTGAAAGCCGAAACGGGTGAAGGGTGGTTCCTGGCAAAATTGTGTATCCCGCTGTAGACCTCCTGAACACAAATGAACAAACGCGCAAGTTTGTGCAATTGCTACTCAGATGAACACCTCACTGAACTTGACCACCATTATTTTCGCGTTGCTGTTCGCACGCTAGGGGGGATGAACACCAGTTCCTTTTTCAAATGGAGCTATCGTCCGAATGACAGGGCCATTGGGCGTTCGTCATCCAACGGGGGCAACTCCTGCAGAGAACAGGAAGGCTCGTAGGCACTGGAGAGGGGGAGCCTTGGGACGAAAGGGTGTGATTCGGCATCGTGGATACATGCTGGGTATACTCTGGTCCTTCTCCTTCTCCTCCTCGTTTTCTCCTCCTCCCCTCTCTCCTCCCCTCCCATTCCCCCCTGCCCTGTCCCCTCCTCTTTCTCCACGTCCTCTCCCTTGCTCTCCCCCTCATCTTCGTCCTTTTCCCCATCCCCTTCCCATCCCATTCCCCTCCCTCTCCCTTCTCTTCCCCATTCTGTTGCTGCCATTCATCCTACCCGTCCTACTCCTTCCTCCTTACCCTCGGCGTCACGCTGCTGCTTCTCCGTTTTGTCCTCTTCCTCCCTTTCCTCCTACATCTCTGCATCCTGCCCCTCCCCCTCTGCCACATCCTTACCCTCATCCGCCCCGTCCCCTTCCTGCCTCTCATCCTCCACCCGCTTCTCCACCATTATTCCTCCTTATCGTCCTCGTGCTTCTCCTCTTCCTCCTCCTCCTGGTCCTCGTCCTCTGCATTATTCCTGCTACTCCCTCCTCATCCTGGTCCTGCTTTTCCTCCTCCTCCTCCTCATCACAAATCCTCCGCCCGACTGAGAGCCCGAGAAGGAACACGCGTGCACTGGAACGCCAGGAACCCAATTCCTCCACGGCCGACTCCCCCCAATAGCGGTCGACACACCGAGGCATTTAATTGCAAGGCTCCTTCGTAAATCGGTTTCGCCAAGGCTGTACGGAGGCGGTCCGGGAACAGGACCGTGTCGGGGTCGACCTCGGGGGAGACGTACTATCTACCGACCCCGATCTTGGCCAGGCTCACCCTGGAGCCCAAGGTCGGCGCCCCTTCTTCTGCAACGGCAGCAGGGCGTATCACCAATCCTTTGCCCATGGTGGTTCTGACCACGAGCGGCTGGCATTTCGACACAGGGTCAGGGGGCCCTTGAACAGTGCAGGCTCGGCATGAGCCCCGCCCTGAGGGTCCCATCTTAAAACCCCGAATCGGTGCATGGTGGATAGATCGCGCCCTCCGACGACCTTGATCGTCCAATCGTGGCTCTTGTAGCGCCCGTCTTCCCCGATCGCTTTCCACACGTTCATGAAGAGCTCCGCGTTTCCTGCGGTACCGTCCTCGGGCAGCCCAGCTGCGGCAGCAGGTTCGTCCTTCTCGTTCCTCACGTCCTCCTCCCTTTCCCCATCCTCGCCTTTTATCCTCCTCAACAACGGCCTCGTCCTCCTCATCCTTTCCCCTCCTCGAAAAACGCTGGAAGCCCGGAATTCGAAACGTGAAACTCCAGAATTCAACGTTTCAACGTCTCCGATTCCGTTGGGTTCCGTAGAGTCTAAACCTTGAACTCTGGAGTTTAAGGTGTCTGAGCTACGGAACTCGAGGGCGCCCTCATGCAGGCCCTCAAGAAACTTATTGAGGAGCCTTAGTGGTACCTCTTGGGAGGCCCTTATCCGGGGGGGGGAAAGCAAAGTGTAGGGTAGAGAATCAGCTCACGTAGCTGATTTGCCCAGCGCCTCCCGGCGACGGGAGGCGCCCATGCATCGAGGAATGGGCCCGGCGGCGGGGCCGAAACCAGCTGCATGCAGCAGATTTCGTAACCCCCCCTTTTTCCCTATCCCCTATCCCACTCTTTCGTTAGGCCCGACTTATGGCTCCTCATGGGTGCCTCTGAAGTCCGACGGGAGGCTCTTCTGGCACCTCTTGAGAAGCCCTTCTGGTACCTCTCGGGAGGCCCTTATGGCACCTTCCGGGGGCCCTTAAGAGGCCTCCATAGGAAGCCATTACGGCACCTCGTTGTCGCCGTCGTCAAGTTGTCACCGACGTTGTCGTCGTCGCCGTCGTCGTCGTCGTGGTCGTCATCGTCGTCGTCGCTATCGTCGTCATCGTCCCATCCTCGTCCTCGTCCTCATTGTCCTCGTCCTCGTTCTCGTCGTCGTCGTCGTCGTCGTCATCGTCGTCGTCGTCATTGTCGCCGTCATGTCCGAGGGCCTCGCAGTGCCTGCAGGTGCTTCCAGAGGCCTCCAGAGATCTCCTGAGGCATCCAGAACCTTCTGTAGACCCTCAGAAGCGGTCGTCGTCGTCGTCGTCGTCGTCGTCGTCGTCGTCGTCGTCGTCGTCGTCGTCGTCGTCGTCGTCGTCGTCGTCGTAGTGCTCTTCGTCGTCGTCGTCGTCATTGTCGTTGCCGTTGTCTTCGTCGTCGTCGACGTCGTCGTCGTCGTCGCCCTCGTCTTTGTCCCTGCCCTCTTCATCGTCCCCGTCGTCGTTTCCGAGGGCCTCGGAAGGCCTCCAGACGCCTCCAGGGGAGTTCTGGACACCTCGTGCGGCGTCTCCAGTTCCCTGGAGACCTTCAGAGGCAGACATCGTCGTCGTCATCGTCGTCGTCGCCGTCGTCGCCGGCGTCGTCGTCGTCGTCCTTGCTCTCGCCCTCATCGACGTCATCGTCGTCATCCCTGATCTCGTCGTCTTCGTTGTCCGTCCGTCATCATCGATTCTGCGCTCATCGTCGTCGCCGTCGTCGCCGTCGTCGTCGTCGTCGTCGTCGTCGTCGTCGTCGTTCTCGTACTCGTTCCCGTGCTCGTCCTCGCCCCTGTCGTCGTCGTTGTCGTCGTCTTCGTCGTCGCCGAGGTCCTCGAAGGGCCCCCAGACGCCTCCAAAGGACTCCGCAAACCCCCGTAGGCCTCCGGGAACCTCCAGAGACCTTCATAGGCGACCGTTGTCCTCGTCCTCGCGCTCGTCGTCATCGTCGTCGGCGTCGTCGTCGTCGTCGTCGTCGTCGTCGTCGTCATCGTCTTTGTCGTCGTCTTTGGCGTCCATCTCGTCGAAGTCGTCGCGTCGTCGTCGTCGTCGTCGTCGTCGTCGTCGTCGTCGTCGTCGTCGTCGTCCCCGTCCCCATGCTCGTCATTATCGTCGTCGTTATCGTCGTCGTTGTCGTCGTCGTCGTCGTCGTCGTCGTCGTGCGCCTGCCCTCCCCCGCGCGGGGCTCGACCACCTTACCGTGACCCCCCCCGCGGGGGCCCGACCCCTATCCCCTCCGTAACAGAAACTACGGGGAGGTATAAACGATGGCGGTTGTGTATGTCATCTTCGGTGGAGCTCTCTATGGGACCACGAAGCGTGTGAGGGACGTGCAGGATGGCGCGGTGGCGCCACGCGAACCCTCCCACTGGGGCATTCGGTGGAGCTCCCTATGGGGCCACGACACGTGAGGGGTGTGCCGAAACGGGCGCGGTAGCGCCATGCGAACCCTCCCACTGGCGCCTTCGGTGGAACTCCTCATGGGGCCACAAAGCGTGTGCGGGGAGTGCCGAAATCGATACGGTGGCGTCATGCGAGCCCTGGCTCTGGTGCCTTCCGTGGAGCCGCTGAGCCCCTATGGGGCCACGACTGCGAGACCTCCCACTGGGCCTTCGGTGAAGCCCCTCCTGGGGCCACGGAGCGTGAGAGGGGTGTGCCTGGCTCTGGTGCTTTTGGTGGAGCCGCCTATGGGGCCACGAAACGTGTGAGTGGTGTGCCGAAATGGGTCCACCTATGGGGCCACGAGATGTTTCAGGAGTGTGCCGAAACGGGCGCGGTGGCGCCACGCGAACCCTCCCAGTGGGGTGTTCGGTGGAGCTCCCTGTGGGGTCACGCAACGTGTGATGGGCGTGACGAAATTCCTGCGGTGGCGCCATGCGAACCCTCCCACTGGTGCCTTTGGTGGAGCTCCCTGTGGGGTCACGAAACGTGTGAGGGGTATCCTCGGCCTCGGCTCTGGCCCCAGCCCCAGCCTCGGCCTGAGCTCCCGCTTCGGCCCCAGCCCCACCGGGAGACGAGGAGGAGGACGAGGAGGAGGAGGAGGATGAGGAGGAGCAAGAGGATGAGATGAGATGAGACGACTCCCAGGAAGGAACAGTCCGAGGAGAGAGGGGCCAGCCCGCAAAACTTGCGCGGGCGAGTGCACCTTCGGGGGGGGAGGTTCTGTGAGGCCAAGAGCGGCTGACTTGCCACCCTCAGCACTCGCGACGGGTGCACTCGCTCCGAGAAACTAAACCTGGCGGCTCTGCTCGCGCGCTCGCACCCGTTCCAACAGGCGAGCCATTCGAGTTTCGTACGGGATTGCACTGTCGACTGAGTACTCAGCGACAGACGTTGTCGCTCTGACATCCCGCACGCTAGCCACTGTAAGACCGACACGAGGGGCAGGGATAGCTCGGTCGATCAACGCACGAATTCGGGATTCGGGGCCAGCCCTCTCCGAAAACGAGACAAAACCATTTTACCAGTATTGGTGGAGGGGGCGCAGGTCTGCTCAACTTTATGGCCTTTTCCTGGCTCCACCCTCCACACTTCAGACAAAGCAAGCAACCCCGTCGAGCCTCAATGCTCTCTTCTCCTTCGCCACGGCACCGCACAGCACGCACAGGAGCAAAACGAGAGCCACACACGGCGACAAGCTGATGCCCCAAGGAGTCTTCCGTGAGAGGCTTCAAAAAAGACGGGGTCCCAAGACATCCATTCAGTGGCAGGTTGCGGCACGACGGCGCAACCTTGAAGCAAACTTCGCACTGCCAGCCGAGTTCGCCCAGCCCCCACGAGTGCCACCCCTCCCCCCCGAGAGCTTCTCTTTCGGCACGGCGCTGTGGGTCTCCGCCACCGCTGCGGACCTTCCTCGAGGAAACACGGGAGGACGGCAGCAGCCAGAGAAACAAACTCAGCAGCTCGACTCCTCGCGAGATCGAACCGAGCTAAAAACTCTGGCGACGGCGCAGGGTGCAAACTGCCTTTAAGTTTAGCGTGATGATCGGCGATTCGGTTCGCTTCGGCCCAGTGACGCTCCTCTGCTGAGAGGCTGTCAATCTGCTCCTGTGACCGATGAGCCTTCACATGCCGAGTCGAGATGAACTTGTGGCCCTCAAGGCCACGACCAAACTTCAGAATGCCAGCTGCCTGGTTGGACGCACGCAGCTGGGCCTGCACAGGTTGCCGGAATCGCCGGATCGCGGAGGTACAGTCACTGCCAGCCAGGGTCTCACGGTCGGCAATCTGGCCAATCAGACAGAGCGCAACGCTCTCGGCGATGCTAGACGATTGGGGAAGGTGGCCTGCAACAGGGCCTTGAATGACTGTTACAGGCGTATTAGACTCTGGTGCAACCGCTGCAATAGACCAAGACGCACGCTCAAGCTCTTTTAAGCCTGGCCGCGTGCATGATCCATCAGGGGCTACGTCCAATCGATGGCCCTGGACCAGAGACGCCACCCCCTCAACCTCAACCGCCAACTCTTCCCCTCCAGGGCCATCGAGGACTACTTTACCCGAGTAGGATGGGGGAGGAATCTCCTCCTCATCATACAAGAACATTCCTTGCGCAAAAATTGGATCGTCAGAGTCGAGACCAGCACCGATGAAAAGCGGGCTGACTGCAGCCTCGGCACGGGCGGCAACAACAGCAGGTAGCATGCATTCGTAGAGACAGTGCTTGATCGTCTGCCCCTGGCCGCACGCACAGAGACCGTCGCACAGGTAGCCCGCAGCCTGGGCGCGGGCCTTGGTCCAGACTCCGCGACAAGAGCAGCTCCCGACGAGAAACTTCTGCAGACTGGACAGACGACGAGACCGACCTCCGACAAACGAACGAACGAAATCGAGCGAGGCCCTGGATCCTGTCGGAGCTCCCAGCTGCATGGCTAAGGAAATCTCGTGCTGACGCTGGATCCCAGCTAGCATGAGAGTAGTGAGCATACTCGGAGGCGTTCTGCTAACATCTATGACAGATCCCCGATGGTCCATCCAGCTTATGGCCGCCAGGACTCGCCAACCCGCACGCTGCACAGCCAGCACGGCTCGAGACAGAGGGCCCCGACTGGATGCCCAGTCGGTGACCTGCCATGGCTTGGCTTCACGCCATAGCCGCAAAAGACGAGCACGCACTGCAAGCGGGTGGTTGCAGACCTCCGATTGCCACAACATTCTACACCACTGGATTGCAGGCGCAACGGCAGAGGCAGCGGCGCCGTCGCCGAGCAAGACAGTCTTGCTCGAAAGGCTCAGTCCACCATGCGCTGGCAGCTGTCCTCGAGCAGTATCACGCCTGCACCTGAGCCACTCCGCGTTGTTGAGCCCGACGACCTCACTGCCGTATGTAGCCGCAGACAGAGCGCCAGCACGGATGACACGGCCGATGGACTGCACCTTGTTGCCAGTGATGACCTTGCCAAAGCGCCTGATCTTCCGCATGCGCCGCACCATGTGCGCCTTGCGCTTGGCGCGCTTGGCAAGCACGCCCTGGTCAACTCTCCTGCTGCCCTCGCTGACGTCGACACCGACATACACCGCACTGCGCCTCGCGACCGAGGCAGGCAGACCAAGCCTGGAAACGATGTCCTGCGCAATGGACAGGCTGGTGCCGACGATCACGAGCTTGTCGTTGATGATCGCGTCGAGCTCCGACACCATGCTCCTGAAGTTCAGCATGGCGTCGACCATCATCGACGTAGTCGTACTCGCTGAAGTAGACGAAACCCGGATGGAGTTGTCGCCGATGTAGCTCACAAACTGAATGAAAGGCTGCCTGACGAGGAAGCTGTCATACTCCCTAACAGACCAGACCTTAATCGAAACGTCAAAAAAAAAAAAACGTCCCCCGCAGGGAGGCCACACTCAGCGCACAGGGCCTGCTCCGCATGATGACCAGCGAGCCTCAGCACTCGCGGCGCACGCCACATGTTACACCAGCTTCATAAAGGCCGTGGGCACGTTGAAACTGATGTACTTGTCGCGCAGCTTGGCCAGGGGGATACGCTCGTAGTACTTGCTGGAGTCGGCCACGGCAAGCGCTCCGTGGTAGGCCTGCCTGCTGTCGGCCTCTCCCTCGGCCGCCTGGAGCCACGCGCAGTCCACAGAGGACCGCCCGCGCGCAGCACCCCAATATGGCCTGTCAATATGCTCCTGTAGTTCCCGAAGCATTGGCCGACGTAGCCGCTGCCATATCCTGTAGAGACCAGCGGAGGAGGAGGAGGAGGAGGAGGAGCAGGAGGAGCAGGAGGAGCAGGAGGAGCAAGAGAAGCAGGAGAAGCAGGAGGAGCAGGAAGGGCCGCGGCACCCATGAAACTCCGGAGAAACTCCAGGAACCCATGGACTCTGGAGTCTAAACCATGAAACTTCGGAGCTGGAGGTTCGCAAGCTCCAGATTCCATGGTCTACATGTCCTCTTCGCTCTCATCGTCCTGCTCCTGCTCCCCCATCATTCCCCTGGCCCTCCTCCTTCAGAGTAATGACCTGCGGGTTAACGTCGCCTCCGCAGTAACGGCCTCCGTGCTCCTGCTGACCCTTCCTCCACAGCAACGGCCTTCGGGTTAATGCTGCCCCCTCCTCAGCAACAATTTGCGGGCTAATGCTCATGACCCTATCGCGACAACGACCAGCGGGTCGATTGCCGCCCCCTCGCCTCCCATGTTGCTATTTGACGGGCAAGGGTGCCAATGGCACAGCGCCTTCCCCCACTCCTGCACCCGCCATCCTCATCCTCCCCCCCTTCCCCCGCGTAAAGTATTGGCACAAGCGATGGAAGGATCAACCAGGTTTCTCCATAGCTTGGCGGGCTCGGTCAGCCGACAATCGGCGCGACGCGCATGACTTGGAGCGGCAGGTCTCCATCCGTAGTGCTGTTCCCTGTTTCAGGTGCCCCTCTCAGGACTTGTTTGCGCAACTCCGAGGCTCGAGGTGTCCTCCACTTGCAGGACGTTGCCGTCGAACATCCGCTTCGACCCTTCTGCCCTCGTCCCCACCCCCCCCCTGCGAGGACCATCATAGGCCTCACCAGTGCGGACCATCATAGGCCTCACACCCTTTGCGGCTGCCATCATCAGGACCGCTTGGGTCGCCCTCTCCCAGCAATAGACCAATACATCACGGCGTCAGTTGCCAATGGAGGGGGCCGAGGTTCTCCATATGGTCCCTCGGCCAACGAAGGCGGCCGTAGGGAGGGGTGCCAACGTACCTCCACAACTCAAACCTTCAAGACATTGCCACCATTCACTGGTTTCCTCCTCATCTGCCCCCTCTTCCTCTGGGCAACGGCCTGTTAGTCCACAGATGGCGGGGTTCGGGAAGTCGACGTGCAAATTTCACAAGGCGTGGTGCGTACTACATGTGCCGCTGGTATTCCTGCAGACGTGTGGGGCTGCCCCTTTGGGAGGCTCCCGCAGATATGCGCCCCTTGCCTTCGCGTGCCAAGCAACCTCGAACACTTGCTGGCGCAGTGCCCCGCTGGCCAGGACGTCCGGGAAGTGTTCCGCGTGCGCTGTCCCCCGTCTGGAAGCGCTGGCAATGTGGGCGATACGCGACCCTCACGCTTTGAACGAACTTGCCACGAGGGTCTGCGAACTGGGGTTCATCAATTCATCACGGCCGCCCTGGCCCACGTGCGCGAGAGCGCAGGACCGGCCGCGTAGCCGCAGCAAGCCGGGATTGCACAAAAAGCCGTCGCTGTTTCGGCCGTCCGGCACCTCCCTGGCCGGCGGGCCCTTCGCCGGCCTGCGAGCGCCTCTGCGGCCTGCGGGCCCTTGCGCATTCCCCCGACCAGCGCGTCACCCACCTTGCCCATTATTCCCTAGTCAACTCTGAGCTGTGGCTTGCTCTCCAGGGCCAAGGCCCGCGGAACAAGGTCCCCGCCCCGGTGGCGATGGCCTATAGGCTCTGCAGGGTGCTGACAGGCACATGGCACATGGCGGCTTCCGTCCTGCGGAGAAGAAACATGGACGTACACTTCAACGTATAATTGCTCCTCCTCCGCCCATTCGACCTCCTCCTCGTCCCCCTCCTCCTCCTGATCACAATTATCATCATCATCCTTCCCTTCTCTCCCAATGTTCCCGCCTTCGCTCTCTCTGCATTACTTCTATGAATGTCATACTCCTTGTCTCCCTTATCCTGCTAATCCTCCTCATCCTGTTCCCCCACCTTCTACTCTCAAACCTCCCTGCTGCTGCGCTGCCGCTGCTGGTTTTCCTCCGCCTCCTCATCATGGTCCTCGTCCTCCTGCTCCTCCTCCTCCTTCACATCCTCCTCCACCTCTCTGATGGTGGTCGAATCTGCAGGGATGCAGAGGGGATGATTAGACGAGGAGAAAAAAGGAAGAAGTGATGAGAACTGGGAGGTGCTTAGATACAATTCGCACCCATAGGCAGCAGAATAGGGATTGAACTACCTGTATTACTTCCTAGAACGAAGGGTGAGAAGGAGAGGACGAGGAAGAGGAGGATAGAGAGGAAGGATGGTAATCATACCGATGAGCCAAAGAGCGGGAGCGTCTCAGGGACCTCAAGGAGCTGGCTTGTGGCGACCACCGAGGCCATCCATGCCCTCTCAAACCCGGTTGCGGTATCACGGACACACGGCATGGTCAGAAAACAAGTACCAGTAAATTGACACATTTGCTTGGGAGAGCGGCTCCCGATTATTGTCCCCAGAGAGGGGCACAGTGTAATTCCCAATGACTACGTACAGATGATCGCCTCGGGTATGTCAGCGGTCTCTTCATCGACCATACGCTGGGCATGACCTTGAACGGCATGCGCGAGCGACAAATTCCTATCACTGCTTACCTAAAACTCAGTTCAGTAGAGCAAGAGCACTGCAAACATGCACAATAATATGTCAAGCCGCCTGCCGGCACTTAACGCAATAACGCCCATACATTCCCAAGCGGCCGTGACCGAGAGGTCGGGGACCAGTCATAGCCTGGAGGGCGTGGCCGGCTTGGGTCCCGAGTCCTTCGACATACCCACGGACGCGGGCTCGAACGTAATCAAATCCTCGGGCAGACACCGAGCCAGAGGCAAAGGATGGAGCGGTCGCGAGAAACCCATCTCCTACTGCTGCGAAATGCTATTCCTGTTTCTCCTCCACCACTTGCTCCTTATTCTCGTCCTCGCCCTCTTCCTCAAAGGTTAGGCCGTGGAGCAGCATCAGCAGCAACAGCAGAAGCATTATAAGCAGGATAGTCAATGAAAGTAAGGCGATTTGGTGGCGGAGTGGGGAGCAGAGAAAGGAATAGGAGGGCGAGGGGTGGGGAGGATAGGGATGACTGGGTCCGCGTGGGAGAAAGGAAGGAGCAGGGGAGGCCGGATGAGTCAGAATGGAGAAGGGGACCGGTGAGGATGAAGAGGCGAAGGGGGAAGAAGCGGGAAGAGGATACGGAGCGTACTGAGGAGAGGGCGATGAGGGGTGATAGGGAGAATCGGGAGGAGTGTCATCAGAGGGAGACTGTGGGGGGTGGGAGGGACAGGACGGAGGAGAGAGACGATGGGGCAAGGAGGGGGGAGGCACGGGAGAGGGAAGGTCGGTAGAGGAGGAAGGAGGGAGGAGCAGGCAGGAGGGATACAAGGAGGTGCAGGAAGGAGCGGGTGAAGGAGGAGAGGGCACAGAAGGCGGAAGGGGAAGGGAGGGGATGAAGGGGGGAGAGAAGGAGGGAGGGAGGAGGGCGGAGGGGAAAGAGGTATGGAGGATAGGGGAAGGTGAAAAGGGATGAAAAAGGGAGAAGAAAGGGAGTGAGGGAGGGAGGAAGGCGAAGAAGGAGGAGCAGGAGGTGCAAAGAGGAGCCGATTCAGTAGGATTAGCAGGTTGAGGGGGAAGGTGCGAAAGAGGAGGGGGGGTGAAGGGAGAAGGGAGAGAGGAACGGGGGAGGGGAAACGACAGGGGGTATGGACAATGAGGGGTGAGGAAGGAGGGGGAAGGGGGGAGATCTCGGGAGCGAGAAAGCTGATGAGGAGGATACAAGGGAACATCCCACCCCGCTCCCGAGAGTCTACACCGTCGAGGCTGACCTGCTCCTGGCACAATACTGCGAAGTCGTTACAAGCGAAGATGCCCACTCCGCGCTTGGCCTGCCAGGGGGGGAGGGGGGGAAGCTCCCCTCCTCCTAGTCCTCACCCCCCTCATTTCTCATCCTCTCCTGCTCCCCCCCCCCCCACCCCTCCTTTTTGGCAGCGTACTCCGACGCTCTGCCGCCCCGCCCGCCCATAGATTCTCAACCTCAGGGTCCATCCGATACCCATCAATCACTGTCCGCCACCGTGCCCCCTGGCTCGTTGAGGCGTTGAGAGAATGCCCAGTGCTGTCTGGTAGGACGTCTGGAATCGTCTAATGCAGCCCCCTTTCCCGAGGCTTCCTGGGCAGCCTGGAGTCTCTCTCGTGCTCCCCACGTCGTCCCAAGGCTTCCATCCACGCCAGAAAAGGTCACAAGTACCGCAACTCGGCCCGATATTGCCTCAGCAGGCACCAGGATGTGTCCAAAGAAGCACTCGATGCATCCAAGAAGCACCGAATGTACCCAACAAGGCCTCCAAGAGTCCCTCAGACACCCCTGAGACTCTCTCCAGAAAGCTTTCAACAGTTTAGCTGTGCTTGGCTGTCCTCGCCCGTCGGTCCAAGATCGAACCACCTGCGGTCCTCGAAGGCCCCAAAGGGCCCACTGAGAGTCCCACGAACACCCCTAGACTCTAGACGACAAAGGACGGCCCAAAGAGGGTTTACGACGGTCCGAAAAGACCTCCCGCACAGCCACGAGAACCCCCTAAACGGCAAAGACTACTCCATGACGGCCCAATAAGCCCCAAGACGGCCCAAGATGCCACAAGATTGGCCCAGAGGGCCCATGGGAACCTCCAAGACTGTCCCACAGGAGCCAAGACGGCCCCAAGACGGCCCAAGCAAGCCCCGCAATGGGAGCTCAAGAAGTGGACACGAGGGTTGTCACATGTGACTGCCTTCGTTTTTCCAAGCTTCGCCACCCAGTGCTGATTTGTCACAGGCATTGAACAACAAAGGCTAGTCCTAATCCGCCGGCCCCCTTGTGGGGCCACCAGGCTGCGAGGCGCGTGATTCGCAGTTTCCTGTACCAGTTGTAGGTTGTAGTTTCCAGTGTTACAGTTCTGCTTCTTGCTGGTTACTGTAACTAATTGACTTCTTGCTGGTTACTGTAACTAGTTGATTGACCGCGCGAGGGGGGGGAGGCCCAAACGGGATTTTTAGCGTCTCCTGGGCGCGTTGTCTGAATTGCTGGGGGGGCTCGAAATCGACACCCCTCACGCAGATCCGCGGGGTCAGGGTCCAAAAACACATGGGATTTGCCACATTTCTGAAATTCGGTGCCACCCCTCACGCAGATCCGCGGGGTCAGGGTCCAAAAACACAAGGGATTTGCCACATTTCTCAAATTCGGTGCCACCCCTCACGCAGATCCGCGGGGTCAGGGTCCAAAAACACAAGGGATTTGCCACATTTCTGAAATTCGGTGCCACCCCTCACGCAGATCCGCGGGGTCAGGGTCCAAAAACACATGGGATTTGCCACATTTCTGAAATTCGGTGCCACCCCTCACGCAGATCCGCGGGGTCAGGGTCCAAAAACACAGGGGATTTGCCACATTTCTGAAATTCGGTGCCACCCCTCACGCAGATCCGCGGGGTCAGGGTCCAAAAACACAGGGGATTTGCCACATTTCTGAAATTCGGTGCCACCCCTCACGCAGATCCGCGGGGTCAGGGTCCAAAAACACAGGGGATTTGCCACATTTCTGAAATTCGGTGCCACCCCTCACGCAGATCCGCGGGGTCAGGGTCCAAAAACACAGGGATTTGCCACATTTCTGAAATTCGGTGCCACCCCTCACGCAGATCCGCGGGGTCAGGGTCCAAAAACACATGGGATTTGCCACATTTCTGAAATTCGGTGCCACCCCTCACGCAGATCCGCGGGGTCAGGGTCCAAAAACACAGGGATTTGCCACATTTCTGAAATTCGGTGCCACCCCTCACGCAGATCCGCGGGGTCAGGGTCCAAAAACACAGGGATTTGCCACATTTCTGAAATTCGGTGCCACCCCTCACGCAGATCCGCGGGGTCAGGGTCCAAAAACACAGGGGATTTGCCACATTTCTGAAATTCGGTGCCACCCCTCACGCAGATCCGCGGGGTCAGGGTCCAAAAACACAGGGGATTTGCCACATTTCTGAAATTCGGTGCCACCCCTCACGCAGATCCGCGGGGTCAGGGTCCAAAAACACAGGGGATTTGCCACATTTCTGAAATTCGGTGCCACCCCTCACGCAGATCCGCGGGGTCAGGGTCCAAAAACACAGGGGATTTGCCACATTTCTGAAATTCGGTGCCACCCCTCACGCACATCCATCGCAAGGCGTGGTAACCCAAACTGCGAGTACTCCCTCGGCCCTTTAATCCCAAGGTGTGGTAACCAAGCTCGTAAACCATACACGTCTTACCAATCGCCCTGTGTGGTAACCCCTCTTGTGATCAGTTGGTTTTGCCGATTGCGAATCGGCCTCGCATGAAGTTCCGATACTGCTGCACGACAGCGCCAAAGCCTCATGACTTAGCTCTTCCATGGCCCATTCTCCGAGAGAGGGGGTCGGCGGCAGGGGGCGAAGCCCTTACGGATAACTCCTCCTGGGATCATTGGTTACATAGTATGTACACTGTGCTTGCTCTGTCCTTCCCGTACTGCCCCACCGCACGCGAGGGGAATCACGAAAGAAGGGAGGGAAGAAGGAGAAGGAGGAGGAGGAGGAGGAGGGACGAGAGAGGGAAGGAGAGGAATGATGGCGGTGGGAGGCAGGAGCGGGATGACTCCTCCTCCTCCTCCTCCTCCTCCTCCTCCTCCTCCTCCTCTTCCCTCCCTTCTTTCGTCCTCATCCTCCTCCTCCTCCTCCTCCTCCTCCTCCTCCTCCTCCAGGTGCGCTCGGCCCGGAGCCTGGGCGTTCATCAAGTCCGCCTCGTCGCCTAGGAGTGGATACGGCGGCTCGGGCCTATCATCCTACTACTGTCACTCCTGCGTCCTCCTCCTCCTCTTCCTCCTCACCTGTGCTACTCCGCCTTCCACTTTCATCTCCTTCCTCCCTCATCCCTTCTGCTCATCCTTCCTCCTCCCTCTTTCAACCATTCCTACCCCTCCTCCGTCCTTATCTTTCGTCCTCCTTCCCCACTCTCCTCCTCCTCGTCCTCCATCCCTCTTCCCGGTCTCCTCGCTCAACTTCTTCATCCCCCCTCCTACCCAGCTGGCGCAGCCCAGGTGTTCTTGCACGCCAGCGCGCCAACGGGCGTAGGTAGATGCTTCAACTCATCCCTTCTGTTGAGCGCCTCCTCCCCCTCCCCTCAAAACCCGACCTCTTGACGACTTCCGATTTGCGCCCAAACCATAATTTCGAACGCAGCCCTGAGAAGGTCCCGAAAGAGCCTCAAGAGTCTCCAAAGCAGTCCAAGGTGAGGCCCAAATTAACCTGCCGACAGACCAGCGAAGGCATTTGTGGTTGACCCCTGGGTCTGCTCATGCTGATCCCGACTTCAGTTTGACAGCTGCCCCCCCCTCTTTGTTCCACTGCTTGCTCCTGCACTTTCCTGGACAAGGCAACTGGCCTGGGCATCAGTTCTGCATGGGCCGGTGGAAACACGCGAGACGTCCAGAATTTCGACAGGGTGACCAGCCAAAGCGACGACCAGCCTCCCTGAGCCCAAAACTCATCAAACCACGCCTGAAGACCTCCCGGACGCCCATGTCGATGGCGACCACCACTATGACGACAAGGTCGACGACGGCGACGACGACAACGACGACGCCCAAGCCCCTCCACGCTCCACGACGACACCGACGTCGTGATGTCGACGACGACGCCCGGGTCGCCCGAGGGCTGCGTCACCGCGAAGCAGAAGATCGAGGGCAGCCCACCAGGCGCCCTCACCCGCTCCTGGCAGGGCCTCTGGCAGTGGCTGTTGGGGTCCTGCCGGGAGGCCGCCAGTCACGACGGCTTCACATCGGCCGAGGGGACTCAGCAATTAATTAGCAACTTCCCCTCCCCAATAAGAGGAGGAGGAGGAGGAAGAGGAGGAGGAGGAGGAGGAGGAGGAGGAGGGCCAGTCGAGACAACGGCGGTCCTCCCTCGCGCTGCTCTCGGACCAGGCGAGAGGGTGGGGATTAGCAAAGGAGGGGGTTTGAGAATCAGCTTAAGTAGCTGACTTTCCAGGCGCCTCTCGGCGCCGGAGGCGGCCATGAATCGAGGAATGGGCCCCTCGGTGCAGCAGATTTCGTCCCTCCTTTCCCTATCCCCCCCTCTCGTCCAGCCCGATGTTCGCCCCTGTCGGGCCTCCTGGAAACTTCCCGTCGCCACGGCTCCGCCACGACAGATGGGCCAGGCCCAGGAGGGGCCCTGGGACCGATTTTGAACGGACTCGTGCTGGGCGGGAGTGACGCTGGTGCCTCAGCTGGCCCTCCTCCGAAAATGGCAATGAGCTTCTCCCAACAGCCACTCGGCAACGATTTTTCTTGTTTTTTTTTATCCATGCTGTCAATGCGCGGTGATGAAAGTTTCCAGCGTTCCCACTGAGGGAAAGGGAACTCCCCCAGGCGAAGCACCAGCCACGAGGGAGAGGAGGGAGAGACGGCAGCGAGGCGTAGCGGGAAGGGGGGGGACGATTTGTTAACACCTCCAGTGCAGCGCGCGAGCGCGGAGCACTGTTTCCTTCCGCAACGCACTGTCATCAAGACTGGGCAAACTGCATTGTGTGCGAATCCCCGACGCCGTCCGACCGTTCATATGAAAACATGTAACATACACAACGACTGCCAATCGCAAAGCCGAGCGTGGCGGGAGCAACATGCAAAAAGAAAGAAGACAGCAGGCTGATGCAGCGCAATGCTCGCGCGTGCGTAGCCCTGCCCCACGACGGCCAACGCCATAGGTGGTGCCGACACCAGCACCAGCTCCTACGCCAGCGACGACGCCAGCACCGATGCCAGCATCAACGCCTGCGACGCCGGCACTAGCGCCAGCGCCGACGCCAGCACCGACGCCAGCATCAACGCCTGCACCTACGCCGGCATCAGCGCCAGGGCCTACACCAGCATCGACGCCACGTTGGAGTACAACATGAAGCTAGACGAGTCGTAGGTCTGAGCGCTGGACTTAGGGCCGAGCAGGCTGGGGGCGCATGCCGTTTCCTCCCTTTGATTTTCCTTCTCTTCTCTCTCTCTCTCTCTCTTTCTCTCTCTTTCTCTTTCTCTCTCATTATCTGTTTCTCCTTCTCTTTTTTCTCTCTCTCTCTCTCTCTCTTTCTCTCTCTTCCCTCCTCTCCCCAATTGGTGGTTGGGATGCCACTGTTTGCACGGGCTTGGCGCGCAGGTGTTCCGCGGCCGCTGCTGGCCGACCCTGGACCGCTCGTTCGGCGCAGGCTCGCCCTCCAGCCCTGTGGAGCAGCGGCTCCGTGCCGGGCACCACCGTGCCCTCCAGACTCAATCCCACCCGCCCTCTGGGCGTAGGTGGTCTAGAACAGATCCTCTTCCACCCCTCCCTCTTCCCCCTTGGGGAGGGGTTTACCCCTCCCCCTACCCCCTCCCCTGGACCTGGACGGAGGGTTTCGCGAGCGGTCGGACGGCTCTTTTGGCCCCAAGATGGCTTCAAGAGCGCGTCAGAGAGCCCAAGATGAGCGTCAACAATTTCATTATCTTGGTGTGTGCTTGCACCCATGTTTAGTTTACTTGCCTGTTGCATTGTGCGTTCGCTCGCTTTGATTCGCCCCTCTGCGCAGCCACTCGGCAACGATGACTACCCTACGGTAGGTTCGTGCGGCGGTGGCGCGCGAAAAGGTATTTGACACCGTGTGGATCGTTCAACCTTGAACAATCGCGGCCCCGATCGTTCAAAATTGAGTTCCGTCGGGTCGTGTGGCGTCACCGTGTCCATAAGTGTTTCCGCGTTCCATCTTTTCAACCTTGAACGCCTTCTCCGGCGGGCGCGCCAACGCCGCATGAACCTACGGTACTCGCGAACACTGCGAACCAACACGTCGATGCCTCTCCTCAGCGTGGAAAGGACGAGCGCTCGGCCAAGCAGTACACAAGAGGTTGTGGCCTTTTGTCAGCAGTTATTTGTTGGGCATCGCGCTACCGCTCGAGACCTCCTCGCGCTTTATGCAGGACGCACGCTTCAGCAACCCGCCTGCCCCTGTTCCCTCCCTTCCATCCGTCCTCCCGGCCCCTGCCTGAAGGGCTGCACGGAAGACGCGATGTAGGTGAACAGTACCAAATGCTGCTAAAAAGGGGTACGACCAACGACGAAGAAGACGGGCATCGAGGGTTTGGAATACACGTGTTGAATGGCATGCGAGCAGATAAAAGCGAACAGTTTTAAATGATGTTTGTTGTTGGTACCCCCCTCGCGGTATCCTGTGCATATTTTCACTAGAATGCTGTTCCTGGGGCTCGCACCCTGATCTCTTCAAAAGAACATGACAAACCACCAAGCTGGGCGCCAGGCCCCCGAGTTACAGCCACGACGGCTCCCGCCTGATACTGCCTCACAAATGATTTCCTAATCGCACTGTCGCGCGGGACGCCCTTCCACTTTTACGTATATAGGGATCGCGCTCTCGCGTGGGACTCCTTCGAATCAGACGAGAGTCAAGAATCACGCCCTCGCTGTGGATACTCTCTCGATGTATTTGGGAATCTCGCTGCCGCCTGAGACTTCCTCACGATTCATGCAGGACGCACGTTTCAGCAACGCGCCTGCTCGACCTCGCCGCCTGGGCCCGCTTTCCCGACCTGCCCGTCAAGGTGCACTCACCCGATCCGCACGTCTGGTTATGCCACGCGCTTTCTGGTCTTTCGCCTGAACATTCATAATCCCTGCAATCTATCCCATAGATGTCTCATGATCAGTGGGCTTCGCCGATGACATGGGGAGAAAGGAGAATACCGTTGAGCTAGCAATAGGGTAACCCTGAAGGGAGGAGGCCGGCCCGCCGGCCGACGCACGCGCGCGCGGCCGCAGGCTCGCTCCTGTTCTGTTTTCCTAAAGCCAAACAGCTGTAAAGTAACAGACAAGTCAAGCAGTGCAAAAGTGAGAGAACAAGGGAGGCAGCAGGATGGTGGCGCGGAAGGAGTGCATTGACTCCCCCCGCGGCGGGGCGTGTAGAGCCACCCCGGTCCCCTACCCACCCGGCCTGTACATATGTACAGCCACAAGGGCGAACCCCAAAAACGATTTTACCGCTCGACTGTGGTTGCCAGGGGGCAGAAGACCGCAACAACCCGACGAACCCCGCCTGAGCTAATATCAAATATCAGTTCAGACCACAAAGTTCTTGCACACCTGGTGCGCCCGCATCACGTTGGACGCGAGAACAATGTCGACGAAGTCGTATTGGTCTATTTGTTGCATTCTCACCTGCGTCAACCTTCTCCACAGCTTCGAGAATCATCCCAGTTATCACTGATGCGCCAATTTTATTGATACTGGCTTCGTTGACGATCAGCGTATCTGTCTCTTCCTCTGCTTGTAGTCCCGCTTTCTGACTTGTCCTTGCCCTTGCCCTTGCCCTTGTCTGCCGCCCTCATCTTCGGCGTGGGTGGTGGCGGGGGCCCTGGCAAAGTACGATGGAATCTGTCGTTGCATTCATTCACACTGACCCAATTCCACATTGCAGTGCTCTGCGCGGCGTGCCCACGGCGAATCACGTGGACGAAATATCCCTGAACTTCTCCATTGTCATTCTTGTCCGCACAGTCCTTCGCCAAGTCCCAGCCGCCATCGCTCGCGCGGCCGCCTACTTCGGCAATGGGGCCATCGGCCCATGCGCGGATCCGATCTGGATCAATCCAGCGGGCATCGCTGCCCGACGCGGCTGAGCCGGTGGTCGCAGGAATGTACGGGGCAGGCCTAGAGGCTTGCCTCTCCGCCCAGTTTGCCCTCGGCCTCGACGACGCTCGAGGATGCCGCTGGGCTCTCCGCCCCGAGCCGGCGGAGCCGCTCGGGGCTTTGGCTTCCGCTGCTGGAGCCGCAGAATCCGATGCGTGCCGTGGGGCCGCCGTGTGGAGTCAGCTGGGCTGCTCCCCTCTTTTGGATTCATTATACAACTTGTAAAACCAATCGCATTGTCAGTACTGAAGAAACCAAAACGACTGATGAACGGACAAATCCTGGCATTGAAAGGAATGTGGGTAGAAGTTTTCACGAAAGCAATAGCATCCTGAATACTTGTACAATTCCGCACGACTGTGCCCAGAACTTCTTTCCCCAAGCCATTGGCCCACCCATGCGCCAGGCCGAACGATTCAATCGCGAGTCTGATCCGGCAGCCCAGAGCAGATTCATTACACTGTGCTTCACGGGCAACGTCCGTATCAGTCAAGGTTGTTGAACTTCATATCCTGAAGATGCAACATGAAGTTCCTCTGCCGCGAATAAGTAAATGCCCTCTCCTACAGCGAACAACACTCGCCCCCATCGTCCATGAACGGGGATCATGTCAATAAGTTCAACCCATATTCTGTCTACACGTTCAGACAATTCGTGTGGCACTTCGTGCACCACGCTAGTCCCCGAAGGCGTAGAAGCGGCAGATGAAGTCAAATATTCAAGAACGACTTGTGCCAAAAAAATGATAATTTGCTTCCGATCGTACTCAGCTACATTACGATTCGCATAGGACACGCAGTCCGAGATGGAGACTCAATCAAGCCAGAAAGGCAACGCTGTTCTCGGACCGTTCATCTTGTAGCGCTGTGCCATGTCGACGTCCCGGACGCCCCTCGATGCCCCCGCGCCTTCTTCACGGGATGCTATCGCTTCATCCGAACGGCTGGGCAATTGATGAAGTCCAGCAATCACTGTCTCCTACTGTATTCGACGTGGAGGTGCTAGTGCTTCTCAAATTGTCCGTCAGCATCTTAATCGATGGGATGGTAACGCCGATTATTATTGCCTGGTGTTCTTCCCATTGGTCCC